GGCTCATTAAAGCTTCACAGCTCAGATTTGAAGTGAACCAAACGTGGACAACCTTTACCCGCTGGCAGTTGTCGAGGCTTAAAATTAGGGAATTGGGACAATATCTAATATAAATGGGGGGGGGGGGGACCAATGAAAACTACAAGTTTTGGTACTTTGCCTGGTTTTTGCAACTTTTTGCCCGATTCTGATTTTGCAACTAAAAAATTTTTTATGAGTAATTTGGTATTTACTTTCGCAAGTTCACCTTTTTGAAACACAACTTTTCAACGTCTTTCTCGCAAATTTTTCTCACCCTTTCCCTCACCCTCCGTCCCCCCCCCCCGAGTAAAACATTTGGAAATTAACAACGAATAAAGTTTTCACTTGAATTATGACTTTCTTGGCTCATCAGACGACTGGCTTGATCCTGCTAAGGTCAACTAATCGGCTATCGATTAGCACAAATGCACTAACGCAGTGACTATCGCGAAAGTGAAAAAATTGTCTCAGAAAAATAAAATGCAATATAGAGTAAGTTTTTTGCGGCCATTTATAGGAGTTCGTGGAAAATTTCAACTCTTACTTCTAAAAATTTTTCATCAATTCCAATTTTTGAAAGAATGATGAATTGTATTGATGTGAATTCATACAAAAGTCCATTTGTAAGATTCGTTTTTCAGAACTGCTCACAAATTTGTTTTTTCCTTCCTTGTATCTCCACCCCAGGTTATTCAAACCAGCCTTTTCCTTCAAGAAATTCCTGAGCAAAAAAGTTAAGGCTGCGTTCATACTGATTTCGAAATCCGGGAACAGTTCCAACACAGCGCTCGAACTGAGCCCTGTGCTGGAACTGTTCCCGGATTTCGAAATCAGTATGAACGCAGCCTAAGACCCAAACTCAGAGCAGAGGGCGGAGTTTGGAAGGTTGCCAGATCTTTCTTGGCGCGCGGCCAGCTCCTCCCCTTTCTCCTTTGGATACACGCGGTAAGGCCTTTGGTTCCTCCTGCACCGCCGCCGATACTAATGTTGGAGATGCTAGAGTAAAGCAAGGGCTAGCAGAGCTCAGCCACCAGTTACTTTTCATCCCTCGCGACAATTGTATGATTTTCATAATTTGAAAGTTGGCATACACACATGTTCTAAAACGAGGTTGGAAAACGGGTTTATTTTCATTCGGTCAAAAACATCCCTGGCACAGAAGTTCCTCCGGGTACTTCTAGGTTGTAGCATAATCTACAGTTCCTTTATGTACCTACGGCTACTTAATATGCCTGTCAGTTCTCATAAGGGAGCATTGCCATGTCAAAAAAGACGAGTTTGAAGAAAAACGTTGTAAAGCTTTTGAGTGTTGCTTCCTCTTTTCAAGGGCTGTTCGCAAGAACCAGTATTTCACTGATAAGTAAAGAACCGCTCAACACAATGAAACTAAGTTTATGAAAAAATGTTGATTTAAGAAATTATGCTGTCTTGAATTCGAAAATTGAAATCGGACAGAACTAATGCAGCACCCTGATATTTCAAAAACGGCACGAACTTCAAATGATTTAGTACTATTGGACTTGTCCATTAGTTCGGAGAATTATGAAAATTGTCTAAGAAAACGTTTGATCTTTATTTTGGGCTTTTTGTCATACAGGTTGTCCCAAAATACTTATGAAAACGTTTAGTTCGTAATGACTCTTGGGCATGAAAGGCTATTGTTGTGCTAAAAAGAAAAACCACTACCTGTAGAAATCAGCATAGACGTTTTTGTACAGCTTTTCGCTAATCCTTTACCGCACAAGGTTTGACAAACTAGACATTCAAGCACTCACAACTTATCTTGGAGAGTTGTTCCACAGAAAAGGAAGATAGAGTTGGAATCACTATTCAGTTTACAAAGGTGATATAGGTTTTATGTGGAAAGGCCACTTCGTCTGAAACAGCTTTCCTTATTAGATTTGCAATATTTAGCGGGTCGCCAATCGTAAAAGCTCATCTGGTAGCATTTTATGAATGTATGTGTCCTCTTTTCGTGAGCTGTGAATGAGCAAACACCCGCTGAAACGAGTTTGTTTCTTTTTCATGACTTTGTGCTAGGTTTCTCCGTGAACTCCGAAGTATCGTATCGTTTTCGGTGTCAGCGACTATAAATTTAATGTATCTGCTGTTGGAAGGAATATGCGGTTTTTTACTAGTATATAAGATACTTGAGGCTTACCCGGCTCCGCTCGGCCCAGTCAAAAGACTTTGATAAAGGTACCATCCCTATTCCTGTACAACCTTTTCCTGTGTCCCTTCTACATGCCTTTTCCCGCTGTTTTAGTAATCAGCATGCTCACCTACCCCCCCCCCATGCCAACTCCCAGCCCCGTAGCTCGAACTTTGCGAAAAAAATCGATAAAAATCAATAAAATCGATACCGATCGATAACGAATAGTAGCTTACGACATGCCCCCGCCTCGAATTATATGTGTGCCGAATTTGGCCCGAATCGGTTCAGAAACAAAAATTTCTATTCCGCACATACGTACACACAGACATACAGACAAACAAACAGACATTCAGTTATATATAAGACTAGCTTGCTTACCCGGCTCCGCCCGACCCTGTGAAAACACTGTAATAAAGGTCCCATCCCTATCCCTCTACAGCCTTTCCCTGTGCCCACTTCTACGCTTCATTTCCCGTTTCCTGTTGTTTTCGAAATCAGCATGCCTACTTACCCCTCCTGTGCCAAATCCCAGCCCTGTAGCTCAAGCTTTGCAAAAAATCGATAAAATCGATAAAAGTAATGGACGATTTCAAAAACTAATATTGTATTCGTAGTCACCATGTTCGATTACCCCCCCCCCCCTGTGCAAACTCCCAGCCCCGTAGCTCAAACTTTGCAAAAAAATCGATAAAATCGATGAAAGTAATCGATGATCTTGAAAACTAATATTGTATTGAAATCCCCATGCTCGATTACCCCCCTGTGCAAACTCCCAGCCCCGCAGGTCAAACAAAAAAATCGATAAAATGGATGAAAGTAATCGATAATCCTGAAAACTGATATTGTATTCGGAATCCCCATGCTCACTTGCCCCCTGTGCCAACTCCCAGCCCCGTAGGTGAACTCTGCAAAAAAATCAATAAAAATTGATAAAATCGATATCGGTCGATGACGAAAAGTAGCCTATGACCAGGGTAAAGCGGGGGGTGCGGCACGCCGCAAGGGGGGGGGGGGTCGTAAGGGGGGGATAGGTAGGGGGGGGGGGTCGTATCGACCCAAGGTCAAAAGCGGTTTCTAAGGGGAAATGACTGCAGCTAAGTTCTTAGACGTGCCACGCTCTTTCCCAACTACCTCTGACAACTCAGGTTCAATAATTGAGAGAAATACTAAATGGAGTCCGGTTCCCTTGCTCCCCATGGCCGCGTAGTAGGATATGGTAGATTGACTCGACAAACTGGATCACCGAAGTTCACTCCTTGATTCAACTCAAAACCACCCGTTTGAATCGGGAGGGGGGGCCTCGTCCCTCGGCTGTGGAGCATTGGAGCTGCTTTCACTCATTTCTATAATGTTAAAGTTGAGAACTTCGAAATCAATATAGAGTGGAGGCAAATCAGAATCGTCCAACCTGTGAGCTTCGATAACAAAGATGGAAATGTTGGCGTGTCCTTTTCTGTGCTGCCGTCTTTACACAATCGGTTTATACACAACTAATCTGATTATGATTGATTGCTGATTATTTCAATTAGAGATGCAAGAAAAGATTGATGAAGAGATTAGTCTCGCTGTACAGCTATGTAACTAAATTGACTTGATGAAAGCGCTGTTGAAATCCTGCAAAATTCAAGTTCAACGACACAAACTCGCAGATACCGTATGCCTAACGTAACCTACCGTACCTCTAATCAAGCATAATTGTCGTAATCCGCGTGTCGAATAACCCCTATGCGCCAAGTTTCAGCGAACTCTGAGGTCTCCGAGCAGTAAACAACCTTGTATAAAGCAGTAATTTAAAACATGATTAACTTCATCTTAACGGTGAGTAAGCTACATCTTCTTGCACTCAATACAAAGCACTATTCCTTCTTTCCACCTCAGGAAAGAAGGAATAGTGCTTCAGAAGACCTCCAAACTATTGAATTAGAAGCCAACCAAAATCGCTTTTAGGTTTTGATCGCTGTGCTTTCACCAAATATTACTCAGAGCTAAGAAGACGAATCAGGCTCAAAACATCCCCATGGAATCTACGAGGTTTAGGCTATTGATTCATATAAATATTGTCCGCTAAAAATGTTTTTTTGATATAGTTAATGGCCTGCGGCACCCCCCCCCCCCTCAAAACCTGCGGCTGCCGCAGGTTTTGAGGGGGGGGGGGGGGTGCCGCAGGCCATTAACTTACCTTCAAAACGTTCAAACAGCTGCCTTTTTCATGTCAACCTATAGATCCATCCTTCCTCTCTCCGTAGTAGCATTTGCCACCCCCCAAGCGCCCCCTCTTAGTAGAGATACGGTGGGTTTTCTGAACCCTATTCAAAGCACCTAGTCCGACAACCACCGAAAATATTGGTGTACGGTAGGAGTCGAAAAATTGCCATCACACCAACGGCGGGAGCCAGGACAGTTTGAAATGCGCATTTCAAAATCCACTCGTCTGCAGCACCTCACCTCACCTCACCTCACCTCACCTCATTTTGATTGTTCTTTTGTTTCTTTGGTTTCTTTTGTTCTTCTGTTCTTTTGCAAAGTGCTTTTCAAAATGCATTTTGACGTTTTCGCCGTTCTGAACTCTTCTCAAAGCGTGCATTGAGTGCCTGAACACGTGTGGTGGATGAAGTGCCTTAGGGTTCTTGTCGTGTATCGTTTGTTTACTTGTTTATCCTGGATTCTGCAGCTTCAGAGTCATTTGTTGTAGTTTTATAACGTTCTTCAATAAAAGTTCTGTGAAAATTCTCTTCAAAAAAAAAACGCTTCATATTGTCGTTTTAACCTTGCCTTTTCTTGTTGCACTCAAGATAACAATCTTTTCAGTTTTTGCCAATATTCTCTCATTATAGATGTTTACAGGAATTTTTGTTGCCTATATGCTACAAATGGTTTGTTCCTAACGAAACCTGCAACAATTCCTGTCAAACTGGGCTCTTCGAACAAGTAAGATTGTGCTGATTACTGTGGCCATAATCTGCAAAGGGCATTTGTAAAAAATGACTGAGGAGACCGCTGGTGCTGGTACAACTCCTGGAGGTACCGTAATCGGATCAGCTTCAAATGAATCGCAGAGTGAGTTCTAACCTTTTCGCTAATGTTTCTTTATGTTTCTTTATGTTTTAACTTTCATGTTTATTTTCATTTACTTCTTATTTGTGTACTTATCATGTGAGGTAGGAGTGACCTCATATTTTAGATTTATACTTCCTTTCTTATCTCTAGTACGGCATCCATTCTGGGACTAGCTTTACTTAAGAATGGCCTGCATGCTTGAGACTGATTTCGTGCTTGCGCTGTAAAGCGTAGGGCATCGGGCATATGATCACGCGTTTTATCGCCTCGCGATTGACCCAACAAGACAACCACTATGAGTCCATTACATGCTGATCTCACAACCGAGCAAGCTGATCGGCACGGCAATGAACTCGTGACAATTGTCTTGTCGGGAGAATCGCGAGGCGATGAAATCGCGTGAACTATGCCCGAAGCCTTATGGATCTCCTTCCAATGAACTCATGAGAGATGTTCGAGCTTATAGACATCCTAATTTTAGAACAGATAATAGCCTGTGTCCTGATCATAGATTGGGAGATTAATAAGCTCCGAAGTAGTATAAATAGTATCAGCTTCAGGGTAGGAAGGGAAAAAAAGGAACTCATGCACAAAGGTTTCTACTATGCGCTACTTGGAGATATCAAGCAAGACTCACATTCGAACGCAAAGCAAGTGATATGAGCAAGAAAGCGATCATAAATAAATGACGCGCATGCACAAAGATGTGGATGAAAAACGAGGCGTCAATTGCTTGCAAATGATGTAGCCTGTTGCCTTGTTAAATAGCCTGCTTTTCGAGGCTTGTATATACACGAATGTCGAAAAAAAGTCCTTCATGTTGTCTTGGTTCAGTGCTACATTTGAGCACTGAGGGACCCGTCATACTTCGCCGAAAAAAGCCCAAAGAAGCCCGAAAAAGCCCAAGAAAGGCGAAGTATGACGGGTCCCTGAAGTCGTATGGAATTTATACTATGCAATGCTTGTTCAGATGTCTTCGAAAAAGAGCTTCCATCCGAAGGTTGCTCTCCGGCGCCATCCAATTGCTCATTCATTAGCGAGCAGGAAATTCCGGAATCAAGTTTTCTCCACCGTCAATCACCGTAAGCATTCCTGACATTAACATTTTGTTTCTTTTATATCACCGAACAAGCATTTTTGGTCTTTTGTGCATTTCAATCGTTAAGATTTTTGCCGCTAAGTCAAGCTTCTCCAAGTGCATTCACGTCATTTCCATTGCGACCAGATTTCTTGAACAGTAAGTACACTGCTTCTTTTGTTGAATCTATCCGTTTTTGACTCATTGTATGCTTAGCTTCTGTGGCTGATTCTGAAACGTCCTCACGCTCATCTCTCGACGGGTCCTTTTTATCGAAAGATTCTACGGAATGTACCGAGAAGTTCAGGTGTGAATCCCTCATTGATTTGATTCACTTCATCTCCCTTTCCTTACCGACATATTGTTTTTGTCAAAGTCCTCACTTATTTCATAAATGGAATTGAAATACACATCGTTCAGAGCGCGTCGATCTGTGCGCAAATTGTCGTCATCCTCAAGTGACTCGGATGGAAGTGAGCTAACTGTAGGTGGCGGCTCAATAGATGGAGACGAACCAATTCTGAGAAAGCTGAGCAAGTCCAAGGTGTGAAGTTTGTTACCTTATTCAATTTTTTTCGTCGTTTTATTTCTTTTCACTTCATTTTTGAGCGTCAAATCATAAATCTTGCGTCCAATGATCTTATACGAAACCGTGCGAGAGTATTTTTGAAATTATTTGTGAAATCTAACAAGGGAATGGTCAGAAGTCGAAGTGGCCAATCCATACAAGCTGCATACCATTAGATGCAGCATAAAATGCTGACTCTAAATCTGTCTTCCTTATCTGCAGAGCGCTTTTGTGGACGAAATTATAAACCGTTGAATGTCATTATTTTGCTAAGAAATTGTGCTTGTAAAGCGCGAACTCGGCCGTACAAAGCCATTCTTGACTCAGTGTTGGACCAAAACATGCAACTAGGTCACACCATATGACCCGTACCTAGAGTGGAGCTGAAAGAGCAATAATGTGCCTGATTTTGCAATTTTTGTATACGTTTTTTTCACACTAAAGTTGCTCATAACTTCGCCTACAAAGGCGCTCTGCAGTTATGGAAGGCAGATTTGAAATCAGCATTTTATGCTGCATCGAATGGTATGCAGCTTGTTTGGTTTAGCCACTTCGACTTTTGACCATTCCTTTGTAAGTTATATGGTCAACGATATTTGACTAATGTTACTCATGGCTATTCGACTGTTTTCAACGGCTCTTATAGTGCTCACTCATGTGAACATCATACGAGTTTTATGTAATGTCGTAAATCTTCAACTAATGACAAATAATGACATGGGATTAGCATCGATGGAAATGTTTTCTTCATACCTTCTTACCTACAAAAATGCGCAACGATCGGATCCACTTGGCTTTTGGCCAGTAAAATTGAGCCTGTAGCACAACATTGTGCAAAGTCGCTGATATGTTTGACAAGTTAATGTGCAAGCCAAGGACTTAAGCCAAAAAAATCGAGCAAAAGTTCATTAATTTGCGAAAACGGCGCCAAAAAGGATTGGTTGCGTAAATGTTCAATTTGCCAAGATTTTGCCTTATCATTTGAGAAGATTTTTGCACAGAGTTGTAGCCCACGGTGATTACTGTATCTTACGGCGAAAACGAAGCCATGGAAAGTCCGAAAACCAATCCAAACCTGCATTTGTTTTTTTTGGAAAAAGTTTCATTCACGCGAAGTTACCGATCTAATATGGAAAAGCTTTTGAAATGAATAGTTGTTTACAAATTATTCGTGATAGTCCGCATAGCGCGGTGAGTTTCAATGTCATTAATGTGCGGGAAATAGTAAGGCGTACAGACAGTGGGGCTAGTGCGAGCCTCTGCGAAGCAGAGGTGACGCACTGGTCTGCACATAATCCGAAGCTCAAGAGCTAGCTTGGGAGTTCGGGAGGGAGGAGGGGGGGGGGGTAGGGAATGGGGTGGGGTCGTGCCGAGGTCCGGCCCAAGGGGGGGGTCGTATCCGGCGGTCGCGTGCCGCACCCCCCGCTTTACCCTGCCTATGACACCCGCCGGGGCCCGAAGTGTATGTGTGCCAAGTTTGGTCCGGATCGGTTCAGAAATGCAATTTTCTATTCGGAACATACGTACACACATACAGACATACAGACATACAGACAGACAAACAGACATTCAGCTTTATATATAAGATAGATCATTGTTAGCAGATAACGGTGACGGTGACAACCTGTGCAAGAGAAGTACACAAATCGCACATTCTTGAAAATTCTTTGCTAAAAGAGCTAAAATGAGCAGCATGTATGTAATTTTGTTACTGACTGTGATTTCACAACCTACACTTTCCGGACAAGCAAAATGCATAGATCGAGGCGTCTACGTATATCGCTCTACATTTCTTTACCTTGACCTGTTATGTATAATGAAATGTATCCCAATTATATAGAGCTTCCAAAATAAAGTATTAAATGTTTGATCTCCAATAACCATTATTGGAAGCGCCCTCACTAAGGGCAGCATGCATTAACATCCCCGCCGGTGAGGGGATCGCAGCTCAAGAGAAAAGTTCATATCCTGAAGCTCCAGATATTTGGATTTCACGCTGTCTACCTATCAATAAGTATTCCCACCATCCTTTACTATGAACATATTGAACGGAAGCTAGAAGCTGTACGAGCCGTATTTTCCATTGTATGATTCACTGATGATAACCGGCTGCCGACCATTTTTTCGTTGAAGTCATGTTTTTTCAAAGTTGATGAAAACATTTTAAAGTTGTGTCGCTTATCTAATCCAACAGTGCTAAGCATGTTGCTGATAAGAACAAATGATGTTTTAGAGTCACGAAATCTTCGATGAACCACAGTTTGAAAGTGGGTCTATCGAAATTTTCGATAGACCCACTTGCAACCTGTGGTTCATCGAAAATTTCTATTTCAAAAACTCATTTGTTCTCATCAGCAATATGTATAGCACTATTGTGTTGGATAATCGGTACAACTTGGAATGTTTTCATTAAATTTAAAGAAAGAAAAATTACTTCAAAATAAAGACGGTCGGCCGCCGGGGTTCATCAGAGGATCATACAAAAGCTGGAAAATGCGGCTTGTACAGCTTCTTGCTCCCGTTCAAGATATTCATAGTGAAGGATGGTGGGAATACTTATGGAAAGATAGACAGCGTGAAATCCAGATATCTGGAGCTTCAAGATATGAAGTTTTTTCCCAAAGCTGCGATCCCCTCCTAGGCGGGGATGTTAAAGCATGCGGCCCTGACTGTAATGTAGAGCTGGCTTCAGCTTGGATTTGCAGCAAATAGCGAATTACCGATCTTTCTTTATTACTGCAGGATTACGGTAGGAACTTATAGTTACACCGTTGTTGTAGATTAGCAGTATTTTCACAAAAATTCTGAAAATTTGAAAAGTTTACTAAGATTTTTACCCACTCTGTTTTCATTACTCATTTTTACAGGTTTGCAAAGCTTTTGAAATGGTGTAATCACATTTTAGGGAGAATCGAAACAGTTTTGTTGTTTACTTGGTATAAATTATGAACGAAGAATTGAATACAGTGCACAGTCCATACTTAGTGATGCCTTTCATTAGCCGTGTAAGAGTTTTTCAGAGTGTTTGATTTGCAATCCGAGGCGAAATAGGGCTCTCAGTGGCTCAAAACTACTTCGGAATCTACCGTAGTCTTACAGCAATGTGTTGATCCAAGATGCGGTTCAGTTAGCTAACTGGGGAACAGAAGTCGAAGTGACCAAGTAAACTGCCTACCATTCGATACAATGCTGATTTTAATCTGTATTCCCTATCTGTTAACGCCTTTGTGGACCATTATTAGCAGTTTTATTGCAAAACAAAATCGTACATAAAAATTGCGAAATCGAGCACATTATTGTACTTTTAGCTCACCTTTTGTTGCGGCTCGGTGTGCTCAGCACCTCGTCCGGCGCTCGTCCTCCTGACGACACAACTCCTTGCTCCAGGACATACCGCTTCGGCGCTAGTATGCGCATCCTAGCGCTTCCGCTCGACGCCAACACCCTCATAACACACATATCACACGCACAACTAGTTCAAATTACATTTATCTACAAATACACACAATAATAACTATCAAACTACCAAAACTACTAAAGTACTACTCCAGAACCCAGAAGCAGAGCACGAGACGAGCCGCCTCGTCCCATGCTGCCTATGCTTGATGGTGATCACTCCAACAAGTAGTTCCGGCTTCGCTGGGTCAACCGCAAGTCCCTAGCCCTTCCGCGACGGTGTGACTCCTCTCCACTCCCGCGATCCTTTTCTTCTGCCCGATAAACCGCAATACTGAGCTCCGCGTCTCCAAACAAAGAAGATCAACAAGAACTCTACCGCTCGAGACCGTCGATTTTCTGCGGAAGCTACTGGAGACGCTGCCAGCATAGTGATATCATCAGAAATCGATAGCAAACGGAACTCCAAGAGGCGTGCACCTCGGCGCGCCGCTTTATATACCTTTGGAAACTCGCCCAGCAGGAGAGGTCCAGGCGCGAAATAAGTAGTGCGCCCAGTAATGCGACAGCCAGCGCTCCCGGCCTCCTGTTCCGAGGAGTTGCTTGCATCGCGAGCCACGACACCTTTAAAAGCAGTGGCTCGGCAGATCTCAACCTAGTCAAATTTGCGCTTACCTGTGGTTATTCAATACGCTGATGCCGAAAATCTACTTTTGAAAGCGTGAAAACGGCGAAAATAAGCGTTTTTTAATGCCATTGCCTTTGAAATTGGACGAGTGGAGCAAGGCCGATGACGCTAAATCGTTGCAGGACCCAATTATAGCGTTGCGGCGGACAACCTCCAATGGTGGGAAGGAAATTGCCAACACGAACAGATGCGTGTAAGATTGGCCTGCGCGTGTAAGTTTGAGAGCGATTTTCTCAGCAGGGAAAGCATGCTGTGCAACCGGGATTGCACTGTTTTCATACTTGGCGATAAGGGACCTACCGCGTTAAAATATTGAGTTGTTGGACTTTGCCGATCCTTGGCTTTAACACCAAAAAGGATGCCAAAACACGACAATTGACTATTTCTAACCAAAATGAGTCAAATGAACAATCTTCATCCAAAAAGGTGATAGACTGAACGACTGAAAGATTTTCTAGCAAAAATAAGCCAACTAAAATAGATGAAACGATTCACAGCCAGAAGTAGTTTGCCAAAAAATAGCACGATTTTCGACCGCTACGAATCAATAATAAGCAAAATTGAACAAAATGCAGCAAAATAGGTGCAAATGAATCACATATGAACTGATGATGAATTCATATAATGATAGATGCAAGTACAAAGTTAGATTTTAAGGACAATCAAAATCCAACATCATGACTTTTGACTGTAATACACAAATTAGGACAGATGGTGGTGACAGATTACTCTAACCAAAATACTTCTTAACCCATACTAGCACTTCGAAAAGGAAACAATAACATGAAATCACCCGAAAACAAATACTGATGTACCCGCAATAGATATAATAACAGCTACAATTTGATATATGTACAAAAATAACACAAAATACTCACCACAATGTGTTAAAATCCGT